AGAGTTCTTAACTCTTAAGTGTTAATTCTTGAAGTAAGTAGCAGTAAAGAATAAACAACACTTAAAAAATAAACCAAAACAAAGAGTCGTATCACAGTAAACTGAAATCAAATGGAAGAAGAAACACTCTGAATTCACAAGTTTTTGTTCCTATGGTGTACACAGTGAGTCGCTCCATGAAGAGGGCGTTGGGGGCGGGGCTCTTTTCAAGAGATTGCAGAGTCTCTGAGCTGTCCGCTAGGCAGGTTTCAAACCGCAGCCCCCCTTGGATCTGTGTGTGAGTGTGTGTGTGTTTAAATGTAGATTTTACATCTTCCTCCAACATGGAAAAATAGTACTGCTAAGAGTCTAGAGTGTCATGCAATAAAACATTAAGGCATCTATACATCACAGTATTTAGATGGATCCAAAAAGTTCTGCAACAACTGACTGGTGGGTGAGGGAGGTGGTGGTGGTGGTAGTGTGTGTGCGAGGACACAGCAGACCTGAAGCTATGTTCTTCCCTCTGAGCTCATCCTCACTTCAGGGCCAGTGTCCATCATCGGGAGGAGGAGGAGTGGGAGGAGGTTGCGGTGGTGGTGGTGAGGTGGGGTGACTGCAGCACCTGCTGCTTTTGCTGGTTTCATCCATGGCTGCGGACACCTGTAGTGCTAGCTCCGCACCGCCCTTCCGCCCTGACGGGAAAGGGGGGTTGCTGGGGGAGGAGGAGGTCATCCGGCCTCCGTGGGCTCAGTTCCCGGTCTCGGCGGGGACCAGCGGCTCACCAATGATGTTTATGCTGTAGTTCTGGTGGACATTTGTTGGCAGAATCGGAGTCCCGTTCGACACTTGGAATGGAACTAAGCTCGCCCAGGTACCAGGACTGGAGAGAGAGACACACACACACACAGGGAGAGAGACGGGTTAATGACACACCTGTCGCATCTTCCTACTGCATCAAACATCTCCTAACTTGATTCACTGACAGCCTGTGAAGGTCTTAACTCTCAAAGTTAAGAGCGCAGGCCCGTTTCTCCTCATAGACTGGGAGGAGGGGGGCGTGGGGGTCCCTACACAAAGCTGTCCCATCCCTATTCATCTCACGCTAATGGCAAAACAACACGGCGATTGTTCCCATGGAGCAACGGTGCTAACTGAAAACGCGAGCGGGAACAAGCAGCATGTTGTTCCCGAGGGGTGCTACGCTACGTACATGTCAGATAATTAGCCTCCCCTCCATCGCCGCCATCCTCCCTCACAAGCCCCCCAGTGTGCAGCCCTCTCTAACACCCTCTCTCGCCTCAGAATACCTGCGCTGTGGATTACCCTCAGAGTACAAAGAGACACAAGGATGGAGGGAGGAGAGACGAGGCGGCTCTGCAGAGGTGAATCAGACGGGATCTATTAGACGACTCCGTCTGCGCTGGTGAAAGCAGCTCATCAGCCAGTCTGAGTTTTATACAAATCACTAGTCACACTTCTTCTACTTAAAACAATGAAAGTGCAAATTCAATTCACCTCCAGGCCAAGCTCCATGGAGGAGTGAAAGGAGGAGAAACAGAAGCGACGACGTATTCAAAACAAAAACAAACATCACTCAAGTTTCCTCGTTTTTTCTGCCTTCAGAGCACAAAGCGTTCAAAACTAAAATAAATAAAAAGATTTCAAAGCTAATCCTCTAACAGTTTTTTTCTTTCCTCTCGTCCAACCCGCAGTCCTCCCTCTCCTGCTTTCTTCCCTCCCTCCTTCCCTGTCTCACCCTGCCAAAAATCACCGGACAGGAAACGGGGGATTAAATTTTTCCTACCTTGCTGAACAAAGAGCGCACAGAGCGGCCAAGGGGCTGCAGCTTTCTCTTTTTACCCTCCTTCTTTCCTCCTCCATCTCCGTATCTCTTTCCTTATGAAATTTCTATAAAGTAATAGCTTACACCGGGTGTGTGTGTGTGTGTGTGTGCGTGGGGGGACCACACAGTTACAAAAGGGCACTTGCGGGCTTTTGTGTGCAAATCGTTTCTAATCTCATTAAAATCGATGGCTGTCAGGCCGTATCTGCATCCTATAGACCAAAGCTGCACCGCTTCTCTCCATCAGCATGTCAGAGTGGACGTGATCTACGATTAAAGTATACACCCAGCAGTACAGCTTAAGAAATGATGAAAGTACTTTTTTTAAGCCAAGAAAAGTATTTTTTGGCTTCTTATGTAATTTTTAGACCTTAAAGCATCTTTATTGCTTATCTTGAAACGTTAAACACAACATTGCTCCATTTACAAAACTGTAAAGTATGTTTTACTGAACGTTTAACTCCCAATGTGGCCTCGACTAATAATCCTCCCGCCTCTCAGAAGGTCTTTCAAACTTTTTATTTGTCAATGTTCTGACCCGTCCATGCACCTAACTAAAACACATCATTTAGAGTATTTCATGTTTTTTAGATTTTATTGGGTTTTGGTTGGTCATAAAAACACTTTGGTCAAATCTAGTTAATTTTAATGTGCATTTATTTTTCACGCAATGCAGCAAACTTCACTAGTTAGCTGCTGTTTTTGCTAGTTGCAAGTGAAAGATTTGATCTACGGGTGTTTCTCAATGCCAAGGAACCTCGCCTTGATATCTTGGTCCCGCCCCGGTTGCCTAGGACATACATCATCAGGAACCGCCAAGGCGTGTTTCAATGTTCATGTTCTACCGATGCATCTGTTCTCCGTTTGTTAGCTGTTTAGCTAGCTAAGCAAGGATGCACCGGAGGTGTCTTGAAGCCTAGACTTGGTCAAAAATTTCCCAGAATATACTGCAGTATTTTCAAAAGGATGGCGAATCAGAAGCCGGCAGCTACTTCAGGGGAAAATTTCAAGTTTAAATGTAAGTAAACTAATTGTATCTATTGGGCTGATGTCTGAAATGTTTTTTTTATATCCAATGCAGTTATCTATGCTTGGTTAGCTGCTTAGTAGTTGCAGCTTTGGTGGCTAGCAGGTAGTAATTCACTTACATATTTAATTTTACAAATATATATATATATATATATATATATATATATATATATATATATATATATATATATATATATAACGCTATCTCTGTTGTTACAGAAGCCATGGTCACGTGATGAAAATCTGCTCCATTTAATCGTTTTTCTTTGACTAAGGAAGAACAGTGTCCTTGTAAGCAAGGCACCTGGCCTAGCAAGACATCGCCTTGCCAGGCCAGGTGCCTTGGCATTGAGAAATGTCCTAAATGTTTTCTGTAACGTATTAGCTAGCTTGAGCACTGGATCAAAGTGTGTTAGCTAGTAGCTAAGTGAGTAAAGTACCACGAGTGCCACGAACACTGTCAATTCATACAATCATAAATATACTTTAATTGAGGCTGTTTGGAAAGTTATTTAGAAATAATTAATTTAAATAGTGATATATCCTTAGAACATAGAGGCAGCAGCTTTTTGCAGATAACTATTTTTTCACTTCCGACCCTGACAAACATTAATAACTAGCTAAAATACTAGTTAATTAGAATTGTATTAGCTGGCTTGTCGTTTAGTTAGCTTTTAGCTAAAGATTGGATATAAAATGATGCTATTGCTAGGCAGCATGTTAGGTTTGGACACAGGTTCACTTGTTGTGTCCCCGGAGTCTCAGATCAGATTTAAGTGTTTTAATCCTTTAAAGCGCAACAGAAGCATAGTCTCAACCCTTCAGCAGAGGGCAACGTAAAGAGTTTTCAATCATTTTTTTAACATTGTTTTCAATTAGAACTTGTTAGCTTTGTATGTATTTATTAATTATTTATTTGTTCATTCATAAATATTTTTTTCTTCTATTTTTAGGCTGCATATCGAGTCAAATTGTGCACAAGAACAACACAATATGGCAGCGTGCTCTATAACGGGGAAAGAACTAACAAAAAACTATTCCTGAGAGACTGTTATGATACTGGACTGAAAACTGGTGGAAAACCAGCCCAGGAAAAACCCAAAGTCCTTCTGAAAGCCTGAAGAACTATTGATCATGACCACTTTAAAAGATTGCAGGAAAAAAAGAGCAGCGGCTTGGAAGCAAAACCTATAAAACAGAAATAAAAGAGCCTACAGGACTTTTTTCACGTGTCGGTATCTGCACTTAGGCAGCAGTGAGCAGATCAAACATCTCTGCATTTGCTCGGCTCACCTTAAGACGGCCTTCCTCGGCCCGGTCCAGCTCCTCAACCTCACTAATTCTGCTCCCTGCGAGCACGACCTGGCTGTACAGCGGGCTTCGTTTAAGGATTAGCTCTCTAAATTAGATTATCTAATGGCATCTTAATGGATTGCTGACCCATTTCCTGCACAACGGCAACATGCGAGTCCGGCAGCTTTTTTAATTTGGAGGCTAGACCAGAAGAGGCGTAACGGAGCTTAAAGGGCAAGGAAGATAAAAGAGGAATCCTCTAGATTCTATCTGTAACAGCTAAATAATCCATCAAAGAGGGAGAAATATAACAGAATTACCATCCTGTACTTGTAATAAAATAAACTATGTGTCCTCATTACTGTACGCTCACATGAGGTGGAAAAGACACATGGAGTCGCTGCAGGAGGTATTTCTCTCTGCCCACCTATTAGGAGGCCTGTTGGAGGGGTTTCTGCTGTGTGCATTTGTGTTTACAACTCTGGCAAGCACAAAATGACCTGCACACACACACACACACACGCGCGCGCACACACACACACACACACACACACACATACACACATACACACACACACTCTCACACAGATACTCTATATATCCAGGGGAAAAAGAGCAAACAAGAAAAGGCTTAGCTCAGCTTGCTGGCTCTGCTGTGCTGAAACGACTCAGGTTGATCCCCAAGAGAGGGGCAGAAATACAGTATGGAAGCAAGTAGGTGGGTGTGAGGGCAGGGCGGGGGGCAGGGTGGTGGTGGGGGGGTGATCTGTAACTTTAAGTTAAAGAGAGTGAAGCATGAAGTCAAACAGAGCTAAGCCTGTTTAAATATGAGGGGTAGACGAGCCTCGTGTTGCATCAATTGTGACCTAAAATGACCTCTCTGATTCAAGGATTGGTTTTGAGTTGTGAAATATTTCGTTCTAACTGAGAAGAAGAGGACAACTGGATTATTATGGGCTGGAATGTCTCGGTACACCAGGAAGGAGGTTGCTGTAAGGACTGACAGAGCAGCCAGCAGAAATGAAGCGTTAAACTGCAGTATTCTGCTATTTCACACTGGAAGCATCAGCGGCGTGGAACGGTGGCGGAACGTCACCGCTTCAAATAGAATCCATTATAGTCTATGGGGGTGGTTCAAACGAGCCACGATGTGGCAATTTTCAGGTGCGTGAAGTGTTGAATTGACTTAAGCAAGATATGTCAACTGGTTCCAGGTTACTTAAATGTAAAGAGTATTTTGCATTGTTACATGTTATGTTAAAAGTAAATAAATATTACTCTTTACATTTAAACAACAAGGTGCACCGTGTAGGAGGAGTACAAAAAAATCAGTTTCTTATTGGGGATAGCTCAGAGCAACCCCAGTTTGGAGGGGTAGTTAAGAGCTCCTCACGCTGACAACCCAACTTAGGCTAGAAATCTTGACGAACCGTAGCAGTAGCAAAAAGATTTAGCTCTGCTGGTCGGTCTAGCCATGCTGCATAGTAGCCTCAGCTGGTCTACCACTGGACCAAACTGTTTTGTGTCTTGCCAATCACTGCGCTCTACGGTCACTGGGAAGGCTAGAGCTGTGGCAAATAAAAACTACAAAGATGGTGTCAACTTACAAACGACGTGACAAAAAATGACAGGCATGAATTTAAGCTTTTCCATGAGATGAGCAGATAGACGTACTTCTTCATTTTTTCTACGGTTTATGACGTACTGCCCCATTGGCTGATTTTTATCGCTGAATATGACACGTTGTTGGTTGCCCTTGGTTGGTTGGTTGGTTCTAGCGTTGTCCAACTGCGTGTGGACAGTTTGAAAGACAACCTTAGAATCTGCCCGCACGTATGGGTCATGGCCAGATCTGACTAGCCATTAGCATGTCATTCAGATGTCTTTCAACAAACTGAGGTTTTTCAAAGAGTTCTCTAAAACAGCTCAATTATTGTCCTCTTTCTTTTGAGAGTCAAGATTACTATTCTGAAATATGTTTATTCATCTTTGGAATTGAAAGTCAGTTTTGAATTAGATTATCTTAACATTTGTTTTGACTTCAAAAATTATTATTACGCTATTATATCACTACTATTACCCATTATAATAGCAAATAATAATTGTTATCTATTTATGTGGCTTTAAAAAAGTATTTGCTTTTTGTTTTGATTATTCTAATTATTTTTATTTTTTTGTCTTTAATTTATGTTTTGTTTTTGATGTCTTTGTGAAGCACTTCATGGTTTTACCTGTGATATGTCCTGGATAAATGAACTTTCTTTACTTGTGCAGTACACCATCAAAACCCACACTTAGCTGACTACTGGACTGATAAATATGAACAAATATGATCACGTTATTGTCTTATTGCTTAAAAATTAGAAAGAACAGGTGAATTGTTGTCTATTTTCTACAGTTAAAATGTAAGAAAAAACTAAAATATAAAAATTAAAAAATAGAAAATATGAGACACAACAGAATGTGGGTTTTTATATAAAAAAATGTAGAATTAAAAAAATCTTGTAAAACATTAACATTTTACATGATTATTTTTATCTATGTATGTCAAAATATAGCTTGATAATAAAATTAAAAAGCATATATAATACCACACCATATCAATTCTATAGGTGTATGTGTGCATATATATATAAATATATGGTGAGATAGAGAAATAAAAATGGCATGAAAGATTGAAAAGGTTACCTTTGCCAAGTAATCCCCAAAGTGTCGTCAGTGGCACTGGGGCCATAATGCCTGCCGTTTTGAGTCACGCTCCAGTCACACTTCCTCAGCTGTCAATTGAAACCTAGCGGTCAGATCACTGGGCCAAGACAACTTCCACTTCAGATTACACTACAACTCAACACTGTACAACACACATGCATGCAGAGGAGTCAAAGCAGCAGCAGAAGGAAGAGTTATGAGAGTAAAAATTAAACGTTGGAGACTCTTCATTACTTGTGGGGTAATGACAGTAAAATCAAAGCAAATAAATAAAAGCATGCAGTTACTGTGGGATAAGATTTGTGCCACAAGGATCATCCTGAAACTATAGTCCCACACAAAATGTACCTTATAAAGGCAAACAAACAAACAAACAAAAAACAAGAACAATTCAGAAGCAAAAAATTAATTTAAAAAACCTGTCTAAAAAGTTAATTCTAATGTAAATATTTGTACTTCTAAAGCTTTTTTTTATTATTACTTCTTAACTACTCACATTTTGTTTCTTTGACACACATTTTATTTCTTTGACACACATTTTGGGTTATCACTTATTTCTGCATTACACAGACTATTTAGACCAGAGGTGTTTTCAAAACAAAGGCCAAAATCGTTAAGGCTATGGTCTTCACGAGCCACAACAATAACATTTTTAGTTAGTTTTATTTCACAATGGAAGCATCAGCAGAATGTAACGGCAGCGGAACATCACTGCTTCAAGTAGAATCCATTATAGTCTATGGGGTGAAACCAGCCACGATGTGGCAATTTTCAGGCAGCAATAATTTTTTTCTTGGTAATTTTTTACTTGTGCTCTTCAAAATCTGTCTAAAATATGCAAGTTGGTAAGAATCTGAACATAAAATATTAGAAAGTGTCAATTTATCAATAGTCTAGAGGAGAAACAGAATTCATTATTCTAGAAATTATTGTATTAGAAAATCATTCAGAGGGCCACAAATAGCCCCTGGGCCACACTTTGAACGTCCTGTACTTAGCCTTTTATTCTGAAGAACATGTTTTGGTTCAGCTGAGAGCTCTTTGCTTTTGCTGCACCTTGATTTTGCTTTAGAAAGAAAGTCTCAGTGGAACAGTGTTACCAGTGCTTCCATGTCATTGGTTATGAGGGTTCGGAGAGTGGCTCGAGGTTTTTGCCACACACAAACTTCTACTGAGACCTTTCAATAGCAAAAGCAAAAACCCAGAGTTGAAGCTAAATCAAGGTGCAGCAAAAGCAAAAAGCCGTAGACAGAACCAAAACACGACTTCAGAATAAAAGCCTACATAGTCTTCAGAATAAAAGCCTACATAGTGACTCTGAATAATGCAGAATTTGGAAGGAACCCAAAAGTGTGTCAAATAAATTAACATTTCATTTTGGAGTGTATATATATTTACTTATGAATTAGTTCATTTTGGTTGCTTTCTTCAGGTATATTTAGTGTGTGACTGTATTTTATCTTTTTTTTTTGGTCGACACTTTTGGCACAAATCTTATTCCGTACAATACAGTTAGAGGTAGCAGCTAAAGCTGGAAGTTCAACTGATTACAACAACATGAGGGCAGTTAGTTGGTTACATTTCACCTGCTAAGTCAGTGCAGCCCTGCAGCACAGCAGAGGCATGCACCCTGTCAATGCTCTCCCAGGTTCAGGACAGAGTGCGCATGCCCTCCAGCATGCAGACTTTATATTTTCATTAGCTAACTGTTTTTATTGATTCAGGGTCACAGTGCAATGAAGTTAAAGCACAGACACACTCACACACATACACTAACCCCCTTCTTCCCGCATTTCAAAACAACCTCACATACAGATTACAAATGACTGCAACAGCAACAAAAAAAAAAGCCACACACAAGATGATGTGTCCCCTTTGCATGCATTATGCGAGCGCACGTGTCGGCAATCCAGCTGAGAGCTATCTCTGCCAATACCAACCTAACCTTGCCCTGTGGTCAACGCATTCATTTAGTAATGCATCGGGAGAAAAGTGCAGCGTTAGCACTCTTCGTGCAGCGGCGGACGTCTCTGCAGAGGCTCTTAAAAGAGATTTAATCAGAGATACGCTGAATATTCAAAGCCTCTTGCAGCGGTCAAGAAAAACGCTCCTTCTTTGCCCCTCGAGCACCTGGATGGAGCATTTTCTACTGAAGTAAAATCTGAGAGGTGTTTATAAATAGGAGCATTTATCAGTGTGGCTCCATCAACAGCTGCCTGCTGAACCTGACTCAGGAAACAAAGCAAAGTTGCTCCATTCAGTGTTTGCTGTGTGTTTATCAGAGGCTGGGAGCGTACACCCCCACACCGCTCCCGCCACAGCTCCTCTAGGGCCTCGCCATCTGTCTGCTGGCACCGGCACATCAGAGTAGCGCGGGGCAGCGGGGGAAACCAAATCAAAAAATATATATAAAAAAAAAAACAACAAGAGAGGAGGGGGTGGGGGTGGTACATGGAGCTGGGAACGTTAGCAAACAGATGCGGGCAGATTGTGGATTAGGATCCTTCCTTAGATAATACCAAATGACATCTGATCACGGATCTTTCCCAGCGGAATGCTTGACGGTGGCATTCCCTGGAGGGGTTAACCAAGGCGAGGGATGAATGGAGGGGCTTCACACATTCACTGCCTGGGATCCGTACAGCAGGTGTGGGAGCGGATGGTGCTGTTTTGTTTTTGTTGATGTTTTTCAAGCCCGGTCTGTGTGTGTGTGTGTGTGTGTGTGCGTGTGTGTGTGTGTGTGTGTGTTTTAGCACAAAACATCAATACTTTCAGATGGATTTTCTAAAAATGTGTTAATCATGGTATCATTAATTATTTTAGAGCAATAAAATGTGTTTATTTTAAAATCATACACATTTAATCTTACGTAAGATTAGGTCAAGGGTTAGAAAATGTATGTTTGAGCTCACATCCTGTAAGAACGGCAAAAAGTATCCCCTCTTTAATTTAAAATTGGGAAAAAGGAATCTCCAACGTCGGTGGAAATCCTACGCACGGCTCCAGGCCTAACGCTTTGCAGCAAACGCCCAGGAACTTCTGGACCGGTGGTGTAAAAGCTTGTGCCCCCGACACAATAAACACATCACCGCAAGATGAGGACAATGACGAAGTATTTTCAGAGAGTGTTTAGTCTTGAAGGACTTGGCTCCAAGTCTCTTCCCTACTCCACCGAGCCAAATCCCAGAGCCGTTAAATCAGACCGTGGAAAACAAAAACAAGTGTGATGAGCAGGATGAATCAAGACAGGCTGGATGTTTTCATGCTAAAAATAATTATTCATCAGGACAGAGTGTGCGTTTATCTTCTGGAGAGGTGTCCCTCCGCTTATTATCTTCTCCTGAGAAATCTTTCCAGGCCGCATCCGAGGAACCCTCGGTTTACGTGGCCGGGCCTACATCGAGGATATTTATAAATCTTATTGATTTAAAGAAAATCTGGAGCGAAACGTGACTTCATTGCCTCTGAGAACTGAGAATTGGATGAGTTTCAGCAGATTGCTGCCGTCTCCTGTAGCCGTGCTACTAGAAAATGTGGAAGACAAACTGTTAGACTTCAGCCAAGTGAATCCTCCCTTTCCTCCTCCGTCATCCTCCCGGGTGGGAGACCAGCATCCCGAAGCCAACGACAAAACAAGCCCCTTGCTTTTATTATTTTCTCTTAAATTTAAGTCAGAAAAGAATTGTTGAGAAGGAGAAGAAGGGAGGAAAGTGCAGCTTTGTGATTTTTACTGAACATAAAAAAATAAAAGAGCGTAAACTGAGGAGGAACCCAGCGATCATTATGGAGCTCCGTGCAGATGCATTCAATTAGTTGTGGTTGGAAAAGCCTTGGCCTCAGACCAGCGCTTTCAATAAGACGTGCTGGGGGAAGAGCACACACACTCTCATCTGAAAACACTGCAACAAACACACACACAGGCATTACCACTTCTGTCCGAGGACATCCTACAGTAGGACGATGCCCCTTTTCCGTACTCAGATTGTAAATAAAGGTTGTTGATTGCGTGTGTGTGTGTGTGTGTGTGTGTGTGTGTGTGTGTGTGTGTGTGTGTGTGTGTGTGAGAGAGAGAGAGAGAGAGTAAGCCTCCAAAATAATGTGCGAAGGTAACAAAAAGGAGCACATTACGCTCTGAAAGCACCCATGTGTCCCATCTGTCTTTTGGCAGTGGCAACAGTGACAGTGACCCTTCACCTTTTATGACTGGCTTTAAAGCGAGCAAAGTGTAAAAAGAAAAGGTCCTTCAGACCCAAACACACTCACTCGCAGACCCACTTACTGACTCACAGGACTCGGTCTGAACTAACATTCACAAACAATATTTGACATCAGCAGAAACTCCCTGTCTTCATTTGACTGCTGCCTGAAAATCTAATTCAGAGCCTGACTTCTAGGTCATTCTAAGGAGGGGGAGTAGGGGGAAACAAACTGAAAAATAAAAAAAAAACAACTATACATGATATGTGGAGCAGGTGAACTTAGAGTTGCAACTGGGGAAGGACCTCACCTGTTGCTGGTGGAGAAAAGCAGGATCTCTTGGGCTCAGGCTTACAAAACGATTAGCTGTCGGGGTGCCGGGAGATGAGTAGACTGGGTGACATCACAGGGAATAAAAAAAATAATTACAATCACCCGTACACCACAGTAACTGTCAGTGAAGTCACTATAATTTAAAACTAAAGCCATAAAAATGCAGAGTTATATTAAAAGTGGAGTCCCACAAGGCTCTGTATTTGGCCCACTTCTATTATCTAAATATAAAATAGATCCAATTGCATCAAATAGCATTTTTAGACATTTTCTATGGATGGTAATGTTATTTCACAGAATCTCCAGTGTTTTGGGGTAATTAGTGTATGTCACACATACAAAAGACTAAACCCACCAGCTGTTGATAACTAAACAAAGTGATCTCAATGAGAGTGGCACAAAAGTAAGATTTTTTTGTCATTTTGACTGTATTTCTCAAAACATAATGCCAAAATAAAACTGAATGTCTAATGATGTCATTTACATTCATACAGAGACAAAAGCTTTTGTTTTTGTTAAAAAATTTCTTGAAAAGTTCAATTTCAAGTTCACTTTTTTCATCTTAGTCAAAATTACATTTGAGTGCTTGAAATATTCGCTTCATTTCTCATCACTCCACATTTGATGAAAAACAAACAAAAAAGAACAAGAAAGAACCATTGAAATTCCAGACTCTTTATTGACTGGTGGTTTAAATGTTACCTAAATGTTTCACTCAAGCTTTTTCTAAAATAATCCTTCATATGTTCAGAGCATTTCAACATTTGTGCCTTTCACACGTGCTTACAAGCACGACTTAAATCTGCATTCTGATGGCTGGATGCTCACCTTCTGTCGATGTGGTGATGGGTTTGGTGTCGGCCATGGAGAGCGTGACGGGTCGCACAGCGCCGTGGTGTGGGGATGGAGCCAACACTGGGGTGAAGTGGCCTGGGACTTTTCCAACCCCCTGACTACTGCTGTTAGCCTGCAAAAAACCCAAAGAACACACTTAAGTATGGGTAAATGGACTGTTTTTGATATAGCGCCTTCTAACGTCCTGGAACCCCCCAAGGCGCTTTACAACACAATCATTCACCCATTCACACCCTGGTAGTGATGAGCTACAATGAAGCCACAGCTGCCCTGGGGCACACTGACAGAGGCGAGGCTGCCATACATTGGCGCCACTGGTCCTTCCAACCACCACCAGCAGGCAACGGGGGTTAAGTGTCTTTCCCAAAGACACAACGACAGCAACAGACTAAACGGGTCTCGAACCTGCAAACTTCCGATTATGGGACGAGCACTTAAGTCCTGTGCCACCGTTCACTTTGAATGTCAAGTTTACTAATATTTTAATACATTCGTGGTGCTCTCTGGTAGGAATGAATGCCTTGTAAGTTGTTCTCTGAGAGATCCTGTTTGATGAGGTAGAAGTCAGCCGGAGGAGAAAATGGAAGAATGTGGCAGGATTAGAGTCTTATTTGCTGATATTTGAACATCTTGCCTCTGATTGGCTAACACGACTCTACTACTGACTCTGTTTGCTCTACAATGCTGATGTTTTATCTCCACAAATAACACAAGCCAGGAGGAGTTCTGCTGTGTGGTGGAGTTGCTAATGCTAACAGTTAGCTAGCTGAGCCCTGCTGTTTCCTGGACACTAAACCAACAGTTTTCCCCGTTGTGAGTCAAGATGGGTGAGTCCATGTGTGTTAAGTGACAGTGTGACGTAGATCTGTCTGGATTTTCTAATCCTAGAGTTTCACCGTCTATTTTCTATCAGAAGCTAATGCAGGAGACCATTTCTATGTTCAGCCTGCATGAAAAACTCAGAGGGACAGATTATAATCAGAAATAATCATTAAAAATGGGTTTTCAGTGAACCTGCTCTTTAGGAATATCATGTTTTCTGGATGATTTGTGGTAGATCATGTTACATTGAAATTTAAAAGCTGCTAAACACAGAACAGCACTTGATTTGTCCACAACCAGGAGTCACAGCCCCACCAGAGGACCCACTCTCTCCACCGACTTGTGTTTACAAGCTCCCCTTTGCTTGTAAATGTGCATTTGGCCAGATTTCAATACACTGAGACAAGCGTGCAACATACTAACTACGCTCTTACAAACCACTTTGCCCTGAACAAGCTTCACAGCTAATCACGACGTACGTGTCGACTTTTCCAGGGGGCTATAACGTCTCTGCTCGCAACTGAAAACCTCTCTCCTAATGCTCCGTCTGAAAATTTTAGCACTTTCAGCCGCTGTCCTGTCACAGTTATTACTAATTCTCAGGGGGGCGCGAGCAACAAAGGGTCCTCAGTAACTGACAATGGATTTCCTACATGATTTCACACAATGATTTTAATGGTGCTCATAAATGCAATTTAGGAGGACGCAGGCGTGAAAAGCCAGGGAGAGTCGTGTAGTGACCTTTTATAATGGTGAGAATGCACCACTATAGAGAGCAGGGCAGAGAGACTCCCTCTCTATATGTATATATATCTATGAGGCGGTGGGGGGGCAGAGATAAAGGAAGCTGGCGGGAGCTACTCTGTGAGGCGGCTGGAGACTGTCTGGGCCGCCCCGAGTCAAAACTCAAACAGGCCTTTCTGGAGAAGAATCGTGTCCACAGGGTTCCCGTCGCTGTGAATAGAATGTTTAATTAGAGTGTAATATAATCTGCGTTAAAGCAAGCATAAAACATTCTGGCACTCGTCCATGGGATTATAAGCACTGTGTTACTTGCAGACCCCCCCCCCCCCTTCATCCTCTGTTCTCCCCTAAACTAAGTGGTCTTCCCTCCCGAAAGCCCCCCCCCCCACCCCCCACCCCACCCCCCAAATTTCCCCAGCAGAGGGCCAAGAGCCGGGCCACGGCAACGGCAAATATTTACAACCTTTATCATTCCCCGCGGTTTTTCCCTCTGGAGCGGCGGTCTTTCTGCCCGTTCTGGAGACAGAGTCGTCTACCAAGTCTTTGTTTACAGCAAGGAAATAAAACTTGCAGCAATATCACACGACCTGTCACTTACGGAGACGCCTCATCAAATTAATACACTCCAAACACAAGGCTTTGCATGCACTGTGTGACCCATGACCTGAGCCGTGGCGCATGGATCTGATTCTCTTTGTCTCATCAAACAGACAGAAAAGTCAAAATAATGAGAGTCTGCTAACAAACTGAACTCATTGACTCAGTCGTCTTACTTGTGCTCATAACGCTTCACTCAGTGAGAATTTACTGGATTGTCTCTATTGCAATTACACCCGTATATTATATGTTATTGAATCATTAAGAGTAAGCAGCTCTAACAAGAGCTAAAAACAAAGAGACATGTGCATCAAATTTCTGAGTTGTTGTCAAGTAAACAGACAGGATTTTGACTACTTACTTATAGATTTTTACCTTTTTAATTGATGCTGTTCTACCATAACAAGGATGCTTTTATTTTGAAGGAGTCCCAGCATGAGTAGTGATACACTGCATGCTGTAGCTTATCTTTTCTTTGATCACAGACCGACAAGATAAAGAACAAAGACGGGGAGCAGAGTCAGGTTGAGCCACCCTCTGACTTCTGTGTAAACAGAAAGAAAATCATAAAAGCGGCCGACCTGGCTGCTCTGTGGGCTGGACGGGTCGTATGATGGCACGTAGCTCTTGAGGGGATCAGCGGGGTTGAGGTGAGGTGGGTAGCGGATGGTGGGGTGTGAGAAGTAGTGCGTTGGCGCCGGAGGCAAGATTGTGGAGGTCGGGAACTGCAGGGGCGAGTGTGGAGGGGGGCTCCTGGATGATATAACTGAGAAGCAAAAGCAGAGAGATAAAACAATCACCATTGATCCACCGAGCCAAATCAACTCCAACTATCGATTAGTCTTCTCCTCTCTCCCTTTTTGACTGTTTGAGGAAAGACCAGGTCACCAGTAACTCACCACTGTGTCCCACACCTGTTAGGCCCGGGTGGTGAGGCTGAGAGAAAGTGCTGAGTCGTGATGACGAGTCCGGTGGAGAGGTGGGGCTGAACAGTGGCTTCTCTGGCTTCTTCATGGTGGGAGAGGACATGTCTGCTGGGAGGAGACAAACCAAAAATATGTCCATGGGATGTCAACACATGGACAACTCGTCCATACTCACTGTTATCCATTGTTTATTGGTATAAAGAGGTCTAATCAATAGTTTTGTAGACTTTCTGAAATTATTTTTGTTTGTGTGTGGCAGCAGATTGCACCATTTGTGCTTTAAAAATGGTGAAAGTTCACCACAAGTTCAATGGCAAAATAAAAAGTCTTCTAAAACTGCAGCAGAATGACTGATATTTATTATTTCTTGGACATTTTTTCACAACCCTAAACTATAATGCTTATTGCATTGTAGGTACATAGAAACTACTCTTGCATATAGTGTATTGCCCTATACTATCGAGTTTTGTATTCTTGGTTACTCTTGTACACTTTGCTCTCTGTTCTGAGGCTTAGTAACACACACATGTCCCCTTTGTGGGCTCAATAAGGACCTAGTAAATAGTCTTATCTTATTTTTTCTAATTTGAAAATGACCGCAGTTGGAAGTCGTGTCTTTAACCCTCTAGAGGCAGGCGTTGCAGATTTGCAACGTTAAAACCTACCTACCTGGTTACTCCACATACGTATTTCATGAGCATTTTTTTAACTCTGAAGGACTTAAGTTGTTCGTCCTTTTCTCAAAACTTATTGTGAGCCTGAGAGGGTTAAGGAATCATGGCCTGCGGGACACATCGTCTGCTGCACATCCATTTAACAACAAACAGTAGCCTAAAAATCAAAATAAACCATAGCAGTAAAAAACAATTTAGCTCTGCAGGTCGGTCTAGCCGCGGTCCATTGGAGCCTCGGCAGGTCTATCATTGGCTCGGCTAAGTTTAGACTGGGCCAATCACAGCGTGCTATGTTTGTTGAGAGACAGTGCCGGCTTAGCACCATTACGGCAGTTACTATTACCATTTTTAGGAAGATGGCAGAGCTGCTACGGAGCAAAACAACAAAGATGGTGGCAGCTCAGGAACACCACCAGCTTGAAATGGTTTTGGTATCCACTTTGGATGATTTAGGCTTGAGCTTTTCTTTAAGACATGAGCAGATACAGGTACTTCTTTTTCAAAATTGTATGGCAGACTTCCCCATTGGCTGATTTTCATACCGATGAATATGTAATGTTGTTCGTTTCTCAGATTGGTTCTGATTGGCCCAATTGCGTGAAGAGACAGTTTAAAAGGCAGCCGAAGAGCCTGGACCCATGACTGAGCTCTGTCTATGGGGCGTGGCCAGACTCTATGCTTACGTGTATAGGATGGCTTGCTAGGCTACACAAATAGCTCTTTGGGAATCAACGTGTTGATACTAAAGTACAATTTTATGTGTTAAATTGACACTTTTTTTCCAGATGTAAATATAAAAATGTGAACATTTTTTTGTCTCTAAACAAGATTTGAGCTAAATTATTTCCTTATGCAATCTGACACCCAAATGATCCACAGTTTAGGTTAAACTCTAATTTAATTTCAGGTGGAGCAGAGTTTAACCCAAAAATCTCATTTGAAACTATTTATTTAAAAACACACACTAATCAACAAAAACGTATAAAAATATGGGAATTTTTCTATAAAAATGTTAGCGTTATCATTATTTTTAGATTTTTAAAAATTTGTAATATCTGACACTGGATTTATTTCCCAAATAAATAACAACAAGCTTGACTAGAAATCTTAAAACTAGCTAATAAATGTAAAATTAAATTATTTTGCTAGTTTTAAGATTTCTAGCCAAGCAACTTTTGCTTACCTCATTGGTAATTTTTTATTTTCAAAGTTAAAAAAATTTGGACCACATCTAAGAAAATGTACCTTAATTTAAGTAATGCAGCTTGTCTAGAGAGGAATTTATTTTCTTTTTAAACGAAAAATAAGATAAAATGTCTAAAAACGAGGCTTTCTTAGAAATCCTTTTTTTTTAAAGCGAGGACTGGCTGAGGAGATTTGGACGAGCAGAGGAAAGAAAAGTGTACATCCTTCAAATTCTCACTTCAGATCTCAAACCTTTGCTAAAAATAATGAAATCATTTTGTGAAAAATATGCTTGCCTAACGTTACCTCCCCTAAGGGCCAAAAAGCTTTTCTGGTCTCTAAAATGATGACAGACCTCTGGACGTAAACGTCAAACCAAAAATGAACTCCAGAACAGGACACAGCTCCGGGATTACAGATTTTTAAGACATAATCTTTAGGAAAATTCAGCCTTCAATTCCAAAAAGCTCCACTGGAGACATGAGAGGTGGGTGGGAACAGGTGTAGCGCCGACGAGCACAAAGTACACTTACGGGCTGCTCGTTACCGCGCATCTCCGCTTTTATGAGCAGCGCTCCGCTGTCACGGCGATGCGGTTTTCAATTTTCCATGGTGAGACACAGAGTATGAAGGAACGTGATAACAAATAGATGCGTCTCCTCGCGCTCCTTCCAGGAACAACCGTGGAGCGCTTTTCCAGTCTGTTAGGGATTTCTGGGGTGTGTAGATTTCACATCATACATCTGCATGAGGCATCATTTTGAGACGTTTCTGTACCCAAAAAAATCCCCAAACAGGAAAGCTGGTGTGAATTTAGGGGTTTTTCCCAGAGTAGGTTTGGAAAAAGAAAACTTTAAAACATGTTTTTTTGGATTACGAGAGGAAAGAAACAGCATTTCCTCTAGTTTCTATCAAACTGGGTGACCTCAGCTGTTTGAAAACGTGCACTCCCGACTCTTAGTGATGGATTTGTTTTGTATTAGAAGGGTAAATATATGCCTGAGTGTAATTAAATCCCAGCCCCACATTTCCAGAGCAGAACCTCACAGAGAGACATATCCCTCCGCTACATGTTAAGGCTTCTGTCGAACGGCGACCATGTGAACAAAACGACTCTTTGGCACTCGGCAGGACTCATATGGGTTTAATATCAAGCCACTTCTCATTTAATCTCTTGACAGAATAATGGCTGTCTTTGGAGCGTTTCCTACCCACTTCATTCCCTTTCTCCTCACCCCAAGTGGCTACGTTTATGCAGCGCCGCACTCTCAGGCCTTGTGCAAAGGGACACGCTAAAATTTCCTGTGGCCACATTGTGGCTGAATCCCACCACCGCCACGTCTCTAGCGAATCATCTGGTGTTTTTCTCTCGCCGCCTCCCTACTGATTGTATTAAATGAAAAAAAGAGGTGATCTAAGTTCAGACTGCAGCAAAAACCACTGAGCGTCTTTCGGATGAAAATACGAGTTTGATTTTCTGTGATTTTATGCGTTTCCGTCAAACTGAACACTTCCTGACACCTCTGGTTTCAGGGCGGTGACGGAAGTCGTCAAAGAGTGACAGCGATCAGGAGACGGTGAGACTTTAATTACAAGAGGAACAAGACGGCGAGATGAGGCGTTTGGCTGTCCTGTGAGGACCTGTTGTTTTTCCTCTCCAGCTGAGGCAAATGTGAGAACACAGGCGTGTTTCTCTAATGCACATCTCTGATCCTCTGAGCTCTTTGCATTAAGTTATTAGGTTTATTAATTCCCAGTCAAAAGCTGCAGAACAACCATGTCATGCAAAGAAGGGATCGTTCGGTAACTGGTCTAATTGCTCCAAATGTGAAAGGATTTCTCTATAAGTGCATCTAAAAAGCTCCTCTTACACATCCTCCTGTTTGTAAAGCTGCACCCTGCCTCAGAAATCTTCCCAAAGGTAAACAGAAACAGATAAATCAGGCAGGTCACCTCCATCTCGGTCGTGCCAGTTTGCCCGACTGCTGGCAGGCGAGCTGGGTGACGAGTAGAAGTCCGGTCCTGTTGGGCTGGTGTCCATGTTCTCCTCCAGGTTGACCGTTTTGGGCCTTTTGCTGTGCAGAAGAAAATTAGAACACTTTCAGTCATGCTGATGTAACATAAACGGCTAAACAGGAAGATGTTTGCTGTAATACTTAAAATATAGTCCCACGATTTGTTTCAGACTGTTAAACGCTAGGCTAGCAGCCGTAGAGAGTTAGCTTAGGTTAGCGCAAAGTGCAGACACACTGTAGGACTTGACTAGAAATGAGCTAAAGCGCCGGGAGCTAAGCATGGTTCATCTTGGTTTAGCTTAGTTTAGCTTGGTTTATTGAGCATGAAGCTTGAAACAAAAATCTGTATATTTTTGTTTAAAAGCTTCGCGCTAAGCTAATCCAAGCCACACTAAGCTAACCACTGACCTTTAGTGGCACTAGTAGCACTTTTAAAAAGTTGGAAGCTTTATATTTTTATTCAGTTTTTTGTGATAAACTAATCTTAAGCTAAAATAGTATGTTTTTATTTATTTGTAACCAAAATGCATCAAAATGACATTTGAATGTTCATAAGCTTTGTGGACTTAACACCACGTTTTTAGATAGGAGTTTAGCTTCTAATCCTAGCTAAACTAAGCTAATATAAGCTAAACAGGAGGAAGCGTGAAACAAAAATCACTATCTTCTTGTTAAAAACTTAATTTTAAACTAATACTAGCTAAACTAAACAAATTAAGCCAAACCGAAGAGAGCTAAGTATGGTGCATCTTAGCTTAGTTTATTTGAGCATGAAGCTTGAAACAAAAATCAGCATCTTCTGGTTTAAAAGCTTTATGCTAAGCTAATCCAGGCTAAACTAAGCAGCCGCATTAGCCTTTCAGGATTAAAAGATATCTAAACTAAATCTAAACTATTCATAAACATCTAGATTAAAGCTAAATTTAGGCTGCATCTTCTATAATTTTCATGATAAACCATGCCACACAAAGCTAATCTAATCAGAGCTTTACTAGAATACACAAAGCAACTCTGTGAGCATTTGTTTGAATGGAAAAGATCTTTTCTGACACCTAAACTTTTTATATAAAAAAATACTTTATTTGGTCTAAAATTATTTTAACATCCAATTAACGAAAACCAGTGAATAAATAAATAAATGCACTTTTCACATGAAAACCTGTGACCCAGTTCTTAAATAGGAAAGTCCAGGATGTTTTGGGGTTGAAAAGATGTCTGACAACAACTCTTCATAAATGTCTAGGCTAAAACCCAGGCTACATCTTGGTCTTTAAGCTTTTTAGAGCTCTAAAACCAGATTGAGGCATTAAACCTCTTTGTGTTAAGCTAATACAAGCTAATAATCTTAGCATTCACTGGATTGTCACTGCACAGATAATATTTCAGCCGTATCACATTTTAAGGTTAAAATAAACATTTAAAAAACCATTTAAAGAGTAACAGGAGTGGTTCTGACTGTAACATGATAAATATAAAATCCTTGTTTAGATGTCACTCAAGGAAGCCATGTTTAAGTGCTGCAGTAACTTCCACCCACCTGCCAGGAGGAGAGGAAAGGGAGCGGTGCACCCCCAGGCTGGAGTTCATGTCATGATAGTAGGGCTGGCCGGGCATGTCCGCCATGGAGAAGGGTACCGCTGCGCCATGGGTGATGGGCACTGCAGAGGACACAAGAAGGAGCTCAAAGTCACACTGCTGTCAGGCTGTAACTCATCTTTCAGTTAGCAAATGGTTGCAGAGCGGAATGTCCTCAAGAAACCATTGAAAGTATAATAATAAGTATTAGTGTAACATTTGCAGCTCTATAAGGAAACAGAACTTTCAGTGAAACACTTTGCAGCTTCCTCGGATAATGATTTATAGTGGGAACGGTGTTCCTTTCCTCGCTGCGGTTAAGGTGAGGGATATTGTTTCAAGTGTGGCCGTGCCTGTGTTTACAGAACAAAAGGGGCTCGCCGCCCGCGTTCGCCCGCATGCTTCCACTCGCATCAGTGTGTGGCCCGCCAGGCTGCCTGCAGCTCAATGCTCGGTCGGTTTGGAGTGGATGAGAGGATGGGAGTGTGTGGCGCAGTCTGTTGTGGTCTGAGGTTCACCACTGGCACGATCCATCCGCCAAGCTTCCACCCTGGCAGCCCACTGAAGCCTTGGCAAAGGCCCCTCACCCGCTGTCACCCACACCGAGCTGTCTGTGGAGGAATGCATCCGGCCCATGGATGCTGAATACAAGATCATTGTTGTTTCTGTCATTCATGGTTCACACCACCCCCAGCCACGTCTCTGTGGTTGGTGCGGTGTCAGTAGTGCCACTCCGCCACCCTGTCAGTCAACGTATTCAGCCATTGTTAAACCCTTACAGCCCTTCTATTATAATTCATCATCGTAGTTTATTATGAGAAAGAACAGCAGATAAAACCTCTATAGTTGTTCTTGTTTCATTTAAAAACAAACGCCTTCCTTCAGAAGAACCTCCTGTTGCAATAATGATTCCAAATCCTGGATCGCAATTCAGCCTTGAACTCCGCAGCTCCCTTTGATGGACTTCAAAGAACGTCTCAACAGCTCGGAGAGTTGGGAGAGAAGCCCGATGATGGACGAGCAGCTGCTTAGATATCTTCCCAGGGAGCGACCGGCTGAGTGAGTGGCAATTCCTGCGTGTCCGGCGACCTTTTTAAAATTCCTGCATGGCTTTAGTGAAGCCGGCCTCTGTCACTAGAGAGCAAACATGGCAGCTCAGAGGCCATCTGGTCAGAGGGCAAATTAAACGCTACCGCCTTCAGAGTCTCCAAGCACAGAAGTGAGCAGGCTGTGTTTTTGGTGTAATAATAAAACAAATAAACCAATTAGGTGCAATGCAATCACATGCCCAGAGTTGTCATTTATTAGCATTTTTGTCACTTTGGGTTGCCATAAAGCTCTTCCCAAGATTTGTTGAAATATTTTCTGTTTTGTTGCAAAAGAAACGGGTGAAAATATGTTTAAATCTGCTCAGAATCATGGATGACGTTTAAAAACTAGAATTTCACTCATAAAGCTACTGCATGAAACTCCAACATAACCTTTTAAATATTCTGAGCAGAAAACGTCTACGTTCTGATGTCTAAATTGTATAAGCTGCGTAAAGAAATGCTAAAGCTGCTGCAAGTGGCTCATTTTGAGTCACCATGGTAATCACACACTTGTGTTTTTCCTTCACTTGCAGATTGAAAGAGAATATATTGAGCTGAAATCTGTGTTTGTGGAATACTTTATTCTTTCTTACAACTCTGATCCAGCTTTACTCCAAGGGGAAATTTCTTAGATTTTTGCTAATTTCGTTTAAAGATGCTTTCCGGAGTTTTCCCCTGTCAGAAATTATGTATGATTTGTCAGAAATCCGTAAAAGTGACTATCTCATCATGTACTGTGATAAAATGTAAGCAATATGTCTTTTTTTTTTTTTTTTGCTAAGCACGCCCCCTGCCCCGCAGAGCTCCGTGCAATAGGAAACTGAGCGCCGACCAGAACTAACCAATAGCGTTAGACTACCGCTTAGATGCTTCAAATTTAAGGAATACCTCGGCTGATGCAGAGTTGATGAACTTTTCACGGACAAGAAAGTCTCTAAAATATAAATATATGAGAACACTACATGACATGAGAATAATACTCGTAAAACAGCGTGTTTTAGCCGTTTGTCGGCTACAGGAGGACATAAATAAACTAGAAACGTGAAGTCGCTATCTTAAAAAAAACTGAAGAAATAATTTGTGTGATATGCTTGTCAGCCACTAGATGGTGCCATCGAATAAGAGAAATACTCCAGAAAGAAGCTTTAAGTCGAACCATGTATGGCTACCAAAAATCTAAACATTTGGCCTGTAATTTGTATACTTTATTTAAAGCAGACATCGGAAGGTTTTTTGTCAGAGGTCACCATCTAGAGGCAGGAAAATTTATTGCACCTTTAAGCCCCTCTCGCTACTTCCATGATTACGACGCAACACTTTTCGTTCGTGGACGTGCACCTCTAGCTGACCAACAAGGCTAAAACCCATTGTTTCACCATTATTATTCTCATGTTATGTTGTTTCTTCGTTTGTATGTGTCAGCGGGTTGTAAGAAAATATAGTTCAACAGAAATTTTGGGATATTTTATGTTATAATGCTGAATCAATATTTAAAAGCAGTGTAACTTTTTTTTATTGAGAATTCACCTGCAAACATTTCCTGTTTCTTTTGTGTGAAGCAATTCAAACTCCGACTGCTAGGTGGCAGTAGTTTTTACCACTTTCATTCAGTTGGAACGATATTTCGCAAAAACAATGGATGTGTTTTAAAAGTGTCTTATCTGACTTTTCCAGTTAAATTCGGTCGTAAAAATTGCATTAGCGTCGTCATCCTTCAGGACTTTGAGGCCCAACAATCCAGTCAGCTTGAGTAAACTACCACAGACGCGATGCGAAGTGAGCTGCTTAGACGTCTCTCTCCAGACGTCTCTGTAAATATTCTGAATGATTCCAAGTAATCTGATTCCATTTAGGGGAAATCCAATTTTAATCCAGTCTGTGTAATCCATTTAACCCTCGTTGTATTTTCAGATTGACCTGAAAAGCACTTGAATCTCTGACTACAGAGCTGAGCAGGAACTACACACCTCCCTGGACCCATCCAAAGAGCTCCATGCTGCAACAAACCAGCAGCGCAGCATCAGTGTGTCTCCTTTAAACGCGGGAGGGGGGTGGGGGGGTGAGTGGAGTCTTTGTACTCCGCAGGCATGTTCGTTACAGTTGCTGCCCGAGCTCAGAGGCTGCACAGGTAAACGGTGCCTTGACGTGCCCTCGGGTACCAAAGGAGTCTTACAGAACAACCGTCAACGGCTCTGCAGAGGGGAGACGTGTCTGTGCAGATGAGTGCAGACAGCTGCGCTCAGGAGCCCAACTCGCTGCAGAACTGGATCCACCACAGCACAGCTGTGTGGTGGGATTTCAGTTGGTACGGAGATTAGGAAGAAAAACAGAGTTTTATGTTGCAGAGCAGGATAAAGACGCTTTTGTTTTCTCCTTTCAAAAAAAACCCAGCTCTTACCGTTTATATGGAAAGACCATAAACACACACGTCTCTGCATGAGCACACACACGTGATTTAACCTGATTAATGACTGCGTGATTTTACAGAAAGCTTGCCAACTCCTGCTCTAACCTCCTTGCACCTGTTAGACGTGACGTGGATCTCAGCTAAAAGCAGGACTAGGAAGCACCCGAGAGCTCTGGGTAAGCAGGATATTACAGAGCAGAAACGCGTACTCACTTCTGGACACCCGCACCAGCTCTGCAACACTGAAGACTCCTGATTTGATGAAACTGTCTTCCAAATAGACTGCAAACGACAAAAACATGATTATTTTACACACTACTGAAGCTGTGGTTGATATTAGGGCAGGTCTGAAATAAATTCATTAAACCAGAGTTTGAGCATGACAGGTAATAAAAACAGGTGTAGCATAAGATTTAGTATGCTGTTTTAAACAAAACTCAGCAAGAATACAAAAATGAATGATTCTCTGTATTTTTACTACAATCAGTTTATATTACGTCTTTCTATTAGAATTTATCATTTTTATATTTAAGATAAATGAATTAACCTCCTTCTCTGTTTTTATGTGACTGATCAGACATGTCCAAAGGGTGTCCCTTGTAGCCACTTGAATGAGTTCTGTCTCTCCAGTAGGCTGTAGACATAAAGCAACATTAACATTTTATTTCCCGATCTTTAATTATATGCCTACTTTGGAGCTATTTTGATAAATAAATAAATAAAATTACCATGAAATAATGTCAAAGTTTTTTAAATGAAGAAAATCAAATGTTTGTGGCCCACAAGGACCTTAAACTCCTCTTTCTAAAATGTTTGGACACCCTTGCTATAGAAAAGTCAGATTTTTGGGGAGGTCTGTGAATGCACCACAGCTTAACAAGGCTAATTCTTGCTAGCAACAACGTGTGAGGAAGTGAAACTCACTCCATAATACATTTTACCCAAGTATGCTAGCTGCTCCTTAACACATGCTAATGCTAGCTTTAGAGTTTCAGCTGCTGTTTAAACCTGATACATCTAAGTCCAGCTTGCTTTGTGCGAGCCAGAATCAGGCAAACCGAGGCTTGTTTTCAAGTCTTTGTTTTCATTTTTTGGGTGCATTTTAATGTTTGAGACTGTTTAATCGGTTAAATGTGATCAGATGATCTGACACTCAAAAATGGGTCTGTGAATGCATCGTTGTCAAGCAGCAATATGTATGTTATGCTAACAAAATGCTAACAAAACAGCTCCTCCATATAGAGGTTTTTGCTTCTAGATTTGTTTTTTCCAAGAATGTATTTAGATTTTTTTTTTTATGTTTGTGTTAATTGGAGTTTGACTAAAGTGGTACCAGAAAGTTCCTTCTTCAAGTGGCTCGGTTATTATTTGAAGAAAATTTGAAAAACTTTCTTAAAGAGCAAGTCACCCCCAAATCAACTTTTTTTTCTGATAAACTATATAAATGTGTGTCTAATCGTGCTGCAGAAATGCGTAGTCAATAGTTTTGCACTTTAGTGCATTTTAGTTAAAATTTTAATTTTCTGCCTAAAACTGTAAGTGTTGTGCCATTGTCAGGTAAAAACTCTGCACTGGATTTGATATTAAATCTGCCATAGCTATTGGCTAAGAGGTACACAATGATGTTAGATGGTACATTATGATGTCACAATGTTGTGAGTGTGTGTATTTGTTTGCGGCTCCACCCTCTCGGTCTGCTAGGCAACAGCATTTGTTGCATTTTTCAAACAGGAAGTGGGATTTGAGTAAGAATCTGGTCATGGGTGACTTGCTCTTTGACAACCAGGGATTACATCAACCAGTGTGGTACAGCTGTAGGTGATTTTGTTTTTGATGCCTGTTGTTTCTGAATCTTCTTTACATAATTTGTAAAATTCATTAAAAAATGTTTTGGATTTTAATTATATGACCAATTTAGTGAAAATGTGAATATTTTTAAAATGACCTTATATGTCACTTTTTTTCAGCCAAAAAATATAAAAGAAAGAAAAAAAGCTGCTACGGAAGAGGATTAGGGCCGCTGGAAAAAAATGCAAATTAATGACTTTTTTCCCTCAGGATTCTGAATTTTGACCTCTGGGATTAAGGCCCTAATCCTTAAAGAAAAATTAAAGGTAGTTTCTTAAAATCAAACACTGAAATCACCTGAAAACTTGCTATCTGTACCTTTCTACCAAAAACCTGAAAGTCAGAGTGTGAAAGTACAGAAGAGGATTTGGGCCAATGAAAAGAAAAGAAAAGAAAAAAATAATAAACCTGACTTGTATCTCAGAATGCTGTATTTATGTTTAATATTTATTTGTAAATATTTCTCAGACTTTTTGACTTCTGAGAAAAAGTCAGCATTGTTTTGTTTTTTTTCAGTGGCCCCAATCCTCTTCCTTATGAAACTTAACTTTTTTAAGTAACTACATTATTTTTGGTTTATTTCCAGATTATTTTCTGATCCTTCTATCAGGTAACTACTTCGTACTTAAATGTTACTGGTGGGTTTGTGGAGACCTGTTGGCCCCATCAACACCATTCAGACTCATGTTATGAAAACGCAGATGACCACTGCTCTGCTTTGATTTTAACACCGAGGGTTTCTGGACTCAACCGGAAGATGGAGGAGCATCTCCACTGGCACCTAGAGAAACACTTAGCGCCTCCTGCGATCCAGAAGCTTGTGCCACCGCCAAGGGCCTCCTGGGTTCGACTCACTGGTGTGTTTTCCTTGGCAGAGACATGGGCAGAACCTGCTCTTGACGTATAAAACTAATTATACTTCTCAAACTCTTTGCATTCCAGCACCGTGACGATAGAGAGCGGGTCAGTCCTTAAGAACAGCGGCACTATCAAAAGATATTCTCCACAGATCGGCTCAGGTATCAGCCTCCATGCTCTGGAACAGTTTTACTCCACCCTTTAACTCCCTCTGTTGAATTCTGATCATTTTCATTTTCAGCCTAGCCAAGTGTAATAATGAGTGTTTACGTTAGAGCCTTCAGCTGTGTGTGTGTGCGTGTGTGTGTGTGTGTGTGTGTGTGTGTGTGTGTGTGTGTGTGTGTGTGTGTGTGTGTGTGTGTGTGTGTGTGTGTGTGTGTGTGTGCGCGCAGTCAGAGCGCTGTCTGGAGCAGGTACAGCGTGCATAAGCCGGAGGAAAGAGGACTGCTGCTCCATGTACCTGGAAGGGGAGTTTTGCCGGGCTCATTGTGGCTTGGACTTCCTGACTGCTGCGAGTCTGCAAACACATACAGAGAGGGAAGAGGGGGGGTCAGAGTGTGAAGACGTACAAAAGCAACAAAACAAGCAGTGATTATTGATTAAAACTCCACACAAGTCAGGATGTCCTTGTTCTACGGTCCCAGTGAAAACCAGTGCCCCCATAAGACGGCTTCATTTGAACAGGATGATCGTTAATGGGAGGAAAACCCGGCGTCTGACACAGGATGACCTGCAGGGTTTTACCAGCAGACCTCTGGGGAAGGAGGGGGGTGTTCAGGCGCTTGATATAGGAGGGGGGTCATTATGGCACAAGTACAGCAGCAAAGAGGGACAGAGGACAGGGAGGGGCTGGGAAACACAAGGAAGCATAAGTGGAATTCTTTCCACCAGCTACAGGGTGCAGGATCTGGAATGAGGCAGCCTCAGACTGACATCTTTTACCTTAGATACCTCGCCCGGAAATGTGTGTGTGTGTGTGTGTGTGTGTGTGTGTGTGTGTGTGTGTGTGTGTGTGTGTGTGTGTGTGTGTGTGTGTGTGTGTGTGTGTGTGTGTGAGATATATTCCTGACTGATCCCTTTAAAGGACTGGAGCCTGTTCCTCTCTTGAATTCTGCCACACAAAAGTTGTAAACCACTGAAATTGGACAACATAAATCAGATCTGTACTGGTGCATTTGCAGCAACGGCCGTGTCTGAACCGACCATAATGATCCGAACCGGGCCAGGGGCTGGGACAGAACCAGAACCAGAGGGAAGATAATCTACACCTTTAACAGGTGACAGCTTCAGCATGAGAAGCTGGAGGGACCATGAACTCAGATACCCTCGCCTCACAACAACACCCACTCTCTTCTATGGAGCTGCTTTACAGGGAGGAGGAGGAGGACGAGGCGAGAGGAGCAAAAAAATAAAAAAATAATCTGACAGATTTATTCCTTTCTTGTTCTCTCTCTGTCGCTCTCCCGCTCCGTCTTGTTCCCCATCTCCCAAATTTGACTATTAAACAGCGCTGCAAAAACAGAATGTTCTTGGCCGCCGCTCAACAATGACAAAGTGTGTGTGTGTGTGTGTGTGGGGAGGGGCCCATACATTAGGAGGAAGAAAATAAATCCTCTATTTTCAGTTTACTAAAACAAACAACCAAGTTAGGCCCCTAAAACATATGTGCACTCTGAGCAGTGACACCATCATAGTGTCTCCTTCAAGGGTCCGACTGCTGCACGTCTCCGCTGAAACAAAAGCCCAAACTCCGTTTTACAACATCTGACGAAGCTGTAACTCAGAAATGATCCCTTCTAAATCCATTAAGCGAGTTCTAAACCGTCAAATTTACCAAAGATTAAGCTTCTCTGGAGCTAAAATCTGCACTATGCACACTGATCAGGTCATTGTCGGCCAAATAATTCCCTTTGATTTGCATCAATTATTCTCAAAGTTCCTGCTCATATGCACACACACACACACACACACACAACAACAACAACACACACACACACTGTGTGAAGAAGATTTTGCAGGCAAGTGGAGGTTTGTGTGGATTTGCTGCAGCACATGTCCATAAAGTGATTGCATGGAGCTCCATCCCCCTCCCCCTCCTCTACCCCCATCCCTCTTTCAGAGTCATCCATCAGTCTAGTTACTACTGCCAACTCCGGGCTGCTCCCCGAGAGCCACTGAGAGGGAGAGAAAAGAGCATGAGAGAGCAGCTTGGAGGTAAGAGAGGAGGAGCTTTGGGAGGAGGTGGGAGCGGCGCTTCACTTCAGAAGGATCAGATCAGAGTTTTAGGCTTTTGTTTTGTTTGTCTTATTTTCTCATTCGACTTCTTCGAGAGCCGAACAGGCATGCATGACAAAAAGAGCAGATGGTCGTGGCAATTAGAGATCGCAAGCAGCATCTTCCAGCATGAGCCCCCCCCCCCCCCCCCCCACCCACACACACACACACACACTCTCCCACCGTAGCACCAGGAGAGACCACCTGGATGACTCAAGGTGGGATGTGAACATATGGCACATCTGCCAGGCCTGCTCCGGAGCTGGAAACACCTCCCCTATTGCATTACATTCTACCTTTAACCCAGGAAGGGCAGCTTTATGTTCTGTTTGAAATGTTGTTTTACTTTTTCAGATACTTCTAATAGTAATTAATGTGCTATGAATGTAATTTTAGCGTGTGTTTATGTTACTCAGGTGAGATTCAGGTCCCAGTTAGTGACTCAACAGGTATTACTAAAAATGAATGGTTTTAACATCAACGTACCATGCTACAGTATTGGATCTACCTTATTTATTAAAACTTGGCCCCAAGAAGCCAAACTTTTTACAAACGTTTTAACGGATCATCAGGGCATCTGAAGGTTTTTCTTTGAGCTTTGGCTGATTTTTCTCTCCATCTACATTCATTTCTTCCTCACAGAGAAATAGTTTTAGATGTTACTAAGCCACCATATTCTGACCAAACTGTTCAGATATTATAAGTGTTGGGTCAAACAGTTAGCAACCAAAAATTTTGAAACATAATCTTTAGCTAATAGCATGCTAATGTCAACACAGAAAAAAAAATGCAAACAATTATTCTTGGCACTTTTATAATTCTCTGGAGACAAAAGGAGGAGTATGGTAATAGTAAGTAATAATAATTTAATATTGTGTAACTTTTAAGGCAAGCAGCTCCATAGTTCTTAAGATTTTTTATGCTTTTCTATTGAATCAACAGACATAAATGTGCTCTATCAGGGGTCTGTCCTGCAGTCTAAAGGGGAATCTATGAAAATACCACAGGCTACACAGTTAAGACTTGTTAAATGTTGTTTTAGCACCAACAGGATGAACCTCACAGCTGTCTGCTAAAGGCTGTTAGCTTCATTGTACTTTAGCAGCATTTCTGACCAGTTATTTAAAACAGTGTGTTTTTAAGCCTTTGTCATGAATCATTAATCAATAAAAGTTTCCTCAACTCAAGATAGGAGTTAGAGTTAAGAAATAACTTTGTATTGCTAGCTTGCTAATGTAGTAGCTAGCAGTTTAGCTAGTCACTGGCTAGCTATGACAGAATGTCACAAAAGGCAAAAGTCTAACCGTTTGACACCGTTTGACAGCTAAATATGAATTTTTGTTCGTTCTACAATTTTCTTAACAGATTCAGGCATAAAAATGCTTCTGAAGACTATCTAAACATAATAAAACTTTAAACAACTTTAAAACTATGTACATTTTGCTAAAAACTAGCAAAAGTGTTGTAGATAGTAACTGGTAAACGTAGCAGAGTTTGTTCCCATTCCTTTAGAGGAATCTATTAAAATTAATACATAAAAATGTTTTTTGACACTAACAAGGTGACTCTCTGTGAACTAGTATCTGAAAACATGACATTAACTCAATGACTTTGCAGGGCTGCCAATTCTCACGCGTGACACACACATTTGACCCTCTTCACATGCTCTCATGCTACACCTCCAATATCTCACGCTGATTAAACACCCCCCCCCCCCCCCCCCCCCGGGCGCTCTGATAGTCAGTGAACAAGGTGAAACGCCCCACCACCCCATTCCCCCTTCACGCATTTAATTGTTTAAAAGTTGGCAGCCCTGCCTTGCATCTATCAAGTCCTGTTTACAAGTTATTTTCTAGAAAATCAAAATTACCGTGGGCAACGGTGCCACAGGAGTTAAGTGCTCGCCCCGTAATCGGAAGGTTGCAGGTTCGAGCCCCGCTCAGTCTGTTGCTGTCGTTGTGTCCTTGGGCAAGACACTAAACCCACGTTGCCTGCTGGTGGTGGTCGGAGGGACCCGTGGCGCCAGTGCTCGGCAGCCTCGCCTCTGTCAGTGCATCCCAGGGCAGCTGTGGCTACATCATAGCTCATCCCCACCAGTGTGTGAATGTGTGTGTGAATGGGTGAATGACTGATTGTGTTGTAAAGCGCCTTGGGGGGGTTCCAGGACTCTAGAAGGCGCTATATCAAATACAGAATAAATAAATAAATACATAATTAATTAATCTACAGTTAATCTATAATTAATTTAGAATTAATCTACAATTAATCTACAGTTAATTTGTGGTATTTATTTATTGATGATACTACTCAGATGTGATTTTGTATGTCTGTGTCCTTTTCATGCAGTTTTCTGTTTTGTAAACTCTCTTTTTAAATGTATTCTTTATTCCATTTTGTTGCAGGTTACACAAACAGCCCACTGTCTGTGTGTCTTTACCTGCATTATATTGTTATTCTCTTTGCACATGTCCTGCTTTATTATGTGAATTTCCCCACTTTGGGTTTAATAATCAATTCATTCATTCATTTCTCTTTTTTATAGCACATAAATCACAACAATATGCTGTCAGGGACAGGAAAACAGGACAGAATATAATATAAAATAGAACAAAATAACATATTTGAACAGTTTATTTGCATAAACAGATAACTCAGTTCTTTAAAGTTTTGTAAAATGCATATTTTTAAATATGTTCTGCTGATATCAGTCAAAATAATACTAGAACACTTAACTTTGCAAAAAAAAGTTTAAAAAACAAAGGAGGGGCAAAGCTTTTGCACTGTACTAAAAACAAGTGTGGATAAAATAATTATGCTTTTTATTATCGTACTGAGAAATATTGTGTGTTTTTTTTTTTGGAGGGCCTGGGGCCCGGTGTCTGTAGCTAAAAGGTGTCCTGTGCAGAAGTCCGGCCAATCTGATAGTCCTCAAATAAACAGTAGTGTAACCTGTAAATAAACAGTTGCGGTTGAGGAGCCTCGGCTTTGCCCTGGGAGCTTGGCAAGACCCGACACCACACACACATGCACACACACACACACACATGCCCTTGTCCAAAAACAACATTTCTTGGCATCCTCCGTCCGTACCACTTGTTTAAATAAACAAACTGGTTCATGAAGGAGAAGGAAAAACAGTTCCACGTATGAATCAGATAATCCGCTGTTACTCAGCAAAAAAAAAAACCTGCAGCAGAAGGGGCTTGTGGGTATTTGGATGTGTCCATGAGTTCTTACACCTTC